AAGAAAGAAATGGTTCGCTTGTATCACGGGAAAGGAAAAATTCTCGATGCTGTTTCGTGCGGTTCTTGCCCGCTATTTATTTGGGTCTGGGTTTGGCCCGCTCCAACTCTGTAATCCCGTTTTCATGGAAGCCGTGACAAACGGATTTAATTTTTTATTTAGTGTGTCCAAATTTAACTAAAAAATTGCAGAGGCGTGCAGGTGCAACGCCATGGAAGCCGTGACAAACGGCGTTACGAAGTCAGCTAACGGAGTGTGATAGACATTAACGGTGTTGACGGAAGTTAGTTTCCCCGTTCAATTGGGACCTTATTTGAGAATTTTGTGAAGTTTGAGACCTTAATTGAGCCGCAATCGAAGTTTGGGTTCAACATTGCGAATTTTGTGTAAGTTTGGGTCTTTGTGTCATATTTATGCCTTCATTTTAACTAACTGCAGGTGCAAATAGGGATGGCAATTTGCCCCGATCTCTGCGGGTCTTGTGGGGATCCCCGCCACGAGAGTGGGGCGGGGAAGAATATTCCTCCACGCGGGGTCGGCATTTTCTTTCTGTGAAAATTCACTGGGAATTTTCCCCGCCCCACAGAGCCTCATGGGGATCCCCATCCCTGCGAAAAATTAAAAAAATATGTAAATTAGTCTTATTTTAAATTTAATTCAACATTCAAACCTAAATCCAATTCAATAAAATTTAAATTTAATTCAATTTTCTCCAACCTATTATTAACCTTTTATTTATTTATGTTATATTGATATTTATTTATGTTTGGATAATTTATATTTAAAGAATTTTAATTAATTATACTTAATTTTTAAAATTTTATTTATTATAATTAAATATTAATTAATTATATGTAAAAATTTTATTTTTTTTATATTAATTGGTGGGGAATGGGGATCCCCATTCCCCGCGGGGAACGGGGATGGGGGGCAAAATTTGGCCCTCGCTAAAAATTCCTGCGGAGATCCCCGTTCTCGCGAATGGGGAGGGACTCCCCGGCCCCACGGGACCCCGTTGACATCCCTAAGTGCAAAGGACAGTTGTTTTTTTTTTTAAAAAATAAAAATAAAAATAAAAAACATAGTATGGAGAAATAAGAGGAAAAAGAATGAGAAGATTTTTTTATTAAATAAAT